TTAATTAAGGAATAAAGGCAGTTTAGTTTTATAAAGAAGCTTATACTGAAGCTTATATTACGTATAATATCATACCTAACATATATATGTTGGAAAATTGATAATTTTGCAATTAAAAGTGATATTTTTAAGCGATTTTTCATTTGTAAGAATATTTTTAAGAAATTATCGTGTTACCATGACAACTACTTTAGATACTTCATGTTCGGAAAATAAAATGGTTTTGTCAGCAAGGCGAGGGTTTCTGCATGCATGTATTTTCTATATATATATATCATGCAATTCTGTTCCGCAGTCTCCAAGAAAAGCAAGACGGAGCTGAAATATATCACTGAAAAACTTTCTAGTCTGACGAATAATGGTAACTGCAATCCGGGAAAATACTGGACGCAAGAAAGGCATTCAGTAAGTATGTGCTGTTTACTTCCTCTCCCGAAATGAAAAAATGATGACGTTTTTGTTGCATGCCCATAGATGGGCATGCAACTTTCATATAGCTCTAAATTTCGTGTCGTGTACGTACGACGTACGTTGGTTGTGCCATAGAGATTATAAATAACACTAGAGGAGGCATCGAGTTTAAAAATTGGGAACGCAGCTAATGGGGGGCAAATTTAAGTCCCGGATATAAAATCGTGCTCTGATTGGCTGATTTGAAACTCGTCACCAATGGGAACACGAATACACATCCGGGACTTGAATTTGCCCCCCAATAGTCGCGTTCCCTTTTTTTTACTGAATTAAGATTACAATGCCTCCTCTAGTGTTATTTATAATCTCTATGGGTTGTGCGTTGTACCGGCGGTGGTAAATCACGTGATAGATTAGTAAAATACGACAAATACCGAGTTTTTCCGACGAGCATTTTCATGTGATGACAGTGATGTGAATTGTGAAAGTTGAAACAATAAATATGCACGCTTTTGTTCACGGCTTTCGTCGAAAATTTACGTAAATTAGCGCCTTAGAAAACTAGATCGAGGTAGGTAAAGCTTTGCTGTTTTTAATTTAGCTTATATAGTTTTATTTATTATTATTTTGCTGCCGTTGTGCTCGCACTGATATTTATTTATCAATTATCAGGCGTTTAATATGTTTGTGAAAGGCCACGCTATCAAAATTCTAATTTTTTATATGCTCAAATTGAAACGAAACCATTGTGCTAGCATTGATTATATTGTGTGTAAAACTTCAAATTTCAAAATTACATCACATTCTGTAAATAACATGAACAATTGTCTACTGAAATTTAATAATACATATTGAACGAAATAGCATTCTACTTCGATAATTTCAATCATAGTCGAGATCATAGTTGAATAATTATTTTCAATCTATTATAGTAATTCACGGTTTCCACGGGTTGTTATGCTGTCAGTAAGCCACAATAAACCTAAATTTGTAGTAAAATATAAACATTGTTTACTTCGAATAGTCAATCATACCAAGTCTGTGATAAAACCTTGACCTGTTGACCTTGTTATTACCGTCCCTTGCAACTACAGATGAACAGTCGCGAAAAGTTTGAAAAAGTTATGTTATTTTGACATAATAGCTATCTTTCAATAAATGTTTGATATTAAACTTATTGAATCAATATGTTAAAGACCACGTAAAGTCCGTAATGTAAAGAAACGCTTTGTTTACATTTTGAACTCAGTGCTACAGTTGTAAAATATGATTAGATATATATTAATACTGAATTTTTAACACTCTTCTGGTTCGCTATGCTTGTAAATGAATACTGACTAGAGATTCAATTCAAGAAAATTCAAAAGATACGAAATATTAATAACATTCCAACGGTCTGGTCCCGACCATTGGAATGTAAGCCTGCGCAGAACGTATGCGCAGAACGGACTTTAATAACATGGTCTTTAAGTTTCAGGCCAGTTGTACAAAAATTTATAAGCGGACCATAAAGGCGGATTCCCACTCAGTGCAAAATGTCGGCCGATCAATATTTTGCGATCACTTTCTTTTGACATACAACTAATCAGGTTGACTCAACACGTTTCAAAAGAAATTGATTGCAAAAAGTTGATCTCCCGATATTTTGCACTGACTGGAAGTCGGCCTGAATGCAACTCGGCCTGAATGCAACTGGCTCCGCAGAGGCTTTAGTCACAGAATAGATACCAGACCAGAAGAGACACTCCTATGTGTTTTGGCTTGGGAAAACATCCGAAATTTTTTATGTGCTATGACGCCATCCTGGAGTGGACACGCAGGATGGCGTCATATGATGGTGTATTTTCACGTCAGCACTAGTAAAATTTCGGACAAGATATTGTCTGAGTGACACTTCTGGTCCAGTATCTATTTTGTGTGTTAGTTGTCTTATGATTTATTATGATGAGATACATTTCACTACACTTTACATGGCGGATCTTGGAACACGGGCGGAGCCACTGGGCGAAGTAGCGCGGGTGGAAAGGCAAAAGCCTCTGTGAAGGGGAGGGCATGCAACATGTACGCACTGCGTACCTATTTTTAGTACAATGATTTCATGGAGAGCTATTCAGCATTCTTATTCCACTGTAGTGATCTAAAAATTAGGAGTAGATTATTATTATTTTATTATGTTCTGATTAAACAACTTTTACAACTAGGCTGAAATCCCTATAGTATAGGGATGATGTTTAACAATTTCCGATAACCGTATGCTGCACATACAGCAAATATCTTTATATAATAACTACAGTGAAACACGCAATTTGATTGGTCAACAGCCGTGCAGGATCAGGCTATCCTGCACGGGAAATTCTGAACAGAAATTCTTGCACATAATTTTACAAATATACTCGCATTGTAAAGTTTCATTGTACGATACCTTTCGACTTTCAAAAGTAAGTTTCCAATTATTGAGACGTTGGTTTAGTTGTATGAATAAATTTCTGATCGATACATTGCTATTCAGCAAGTAGCAACGCGTAGCGTTGAAAATATTCATCAGACCATGGCATGCAAATCCATTTCAAATTTCGTATATTTTATCGAAAACGTCCCTGTATTTTCGCTGTATATTTTCGCGAATTTGCGATCAAATTCTGTTCACATATGTTGTTGTTTTCAATAGCGTGGAGTAGCGATTCTCTGATTGGTTAATTCATGAATGTTGTGAGAACTGCACATTTCATCAGTACGTAATTTTAATCAAGTTAAGCGTCGTTTCACTGTAGTAATTTTATAAACAATTACCAAATGGTTTTCCCGTGCAGGATAGCATGATCCATGCACTTGGGATGTTGCTCGACTTTCGGAAAGCGTAAAAATACACTCGCCTACGGCTCGTGTATTTTTACGCTTTCCGAAAGTCTCGCAACATCCCGCGTGCATGGATCACGCAATCCTGCACGGAAAACCATTCGGTATTCCTTTATTACCAGCTTGGATTACTCCTGAGACAACGTTCCGGAGGATGGATTCGCTCTTTCAGAGAACAGTATTTTGCATTTATTTACATATCACCATTCGCTCTTTTCGTTCGAATTGTTCACTTATATCATCATTAAAATTTAATTGGTAGATTCTTCCTCCTAGACTTACAACTTTCACGAATTTCGAACTCCACTTCGGGAAACTTCTAGCCACCCTTGATGCGTCCAATCCCGGACTCACTTCCCTGCAACCGTGTTTGTTATAAAACCTTCGAGTGGGACCAACTGACAATCACTAGACCAGTACTCCCCTCCTCCACTGTTCTCCAACACTTTGCTACTATTGGAAGGGTATGGAGGTTTTTTAAAATTACCCCTTTTGCAAAATAAACACAAATTAGAACAAGACCAGGAAACAGGACCAATGAAAAACTTGCAAGGCAAGCTGTCATTGTTTGCCTGTGAACAGCTCCATTAATAAAAGTTTCTTAGTGAAGTAAAATAGAATTAAATGCTAAATAAAAGACTGCTAAATAATTCTGTATGAATGGGACAGAAATTGTTTGGCCTGATACCAGATTGTACCAGATTTATCACAGTTAGTCGACAGGGTGCTGGCCGGATACTGGTTAGTGAGAAATTATGCCGGATACTGGATATTGTGGATACTAATGCTGGTATTTTGACAATACTTCATTATTTTCCCCAAAAGATATAATCTAATGTTTTAGACTAATGTGTCGTTTATCTTTTTGTATATTAATAAAAATTAATATCTATGGCACAGAGGTTGGCATATGAGGAAATCTACCGTACAGAGAAGTTTGCAGTTCACAAAACTGTCCGTGCGAAATTAGTACCCTCCCGGCCCAGGCTATCACACCGTTGTCTCGGGAATTAATCCCGCTGTCGTTATTGAGGTTAGCCTGCGTAGCGGCTCTCAGAGAAAGGAGAGCCTGCACGAAACCCCATGCTTTGCCATTTCCGCCCACTTAGCCTGCGGGCTACGCCCACTTTAAACAGATGTGAAAATTGGCCAATCACACAGATTGTTTACGTTTGCAAATTTACTTGTCAAAACGAAATAAAAATATAGATTGCTGTATGTTCGCAAATTTCAAAACGAAGTAATATACGGATGTCGGCTAAAGAAAATTGAAGTCTGTGGGAATGGCGCTAGGCCTAGGGCAACCTCCATCGTTCTCACAAGTAGTTTGCAGTCCGTATCTACGATATTTCGTAGCTTTCTCGCACACGTACAAATATAATTTATAGTTTCGACAGCGATCAACCGTGATGTATTAAATGTTAATTAAAGTTTCGAGCGATGCAGACATATGGGCGTACGGGAAGGAAAAAATTAGGGGGGCGGAAAGAAATTTGCCCGACTTTTTTGGATTGTGCCCGAGTTGTCAAAAAAAGGGGGGAGTGATTACGAAAAATTCCTATTAGATAGCATATTTCCCACAAAATTGACAGAATTTCCCACAAAATTGACAGATCAATAGAATTTGCCCCATTTATTTTTATAATAAGCCAATATGATTGCCCAACAAACTGGGGGGTGCCGCCAGTCCTGTGGTAAAAATCTCTTGTTGAAACACTGCTGCGGATTTCGATTTACCGTTTCAGGGCTTCCGTTTCCAGTGATTGTTTTTCCGTTAAAACGAACAAGTTGCTAAGGGCCAATGTCAATGTTACTAAGTGAAGTCTGGTGGTCTTTGTCCGTTGTTTTCTTATCCGTTGTTTATCATTTGTAAATGTAACTGTTATATTCGTATTTATCTCGTCATTGGCGACATTTTGGTATATAATTTACGAAGCTTTGTGGATCATTTCATGTTTTTATTGATATTTTGGAAATTGTAGCGTATAAAAGGCCAGTAAATAATTTTGAAGCCTTTTATACGCTACAATTTCCAATTCAAATCAATAAAAAACATGAAATGATCTACAAAGCTTTGTAAATTATATATCAAAATGTTGCAAAAGACGAGATAAACACGAATATAACAGTTACATTTACAAATGATAAACAACGGACAAGAAAACAGCGGACAAAGACCACTAGACTTCATTTAGTAACATTGACATTGACCGTTAGAAACGTGTATGTTTCAACGGGAAAACAATTACCGGAAATTAAAGCGCTGAAACGGTAAATCGAAATCCACAGTATCTATTAACGAGATTACAGCACTTAAAATTAGGTACGGGTATCAGTTATCTGTGTCGTACCGAAAATTAATATGCGTGCATGTAATTAAGCACGGCGCTATTTAATGCGCATGCTTGTGCTTAGATTTAGGAAGTATTCGCTTAATTGCATGGTTTTCAAGGAAAACTTTAAAAACTCTCTATTTTAAAGTTAAAGTGTTTTCCTTTAGGCTATAACATCTAACAGGTCTGATAAAAATCAGCAAGTATATTATGATTGTTGGTACAAGTTAGAGGTATGTTCATTTAGTTGTACACTATTTTCCCTCTAATTTCTCCTCACGTTTATAGTTGAAAATGTATCTTACGTTATCATTGAACATTCATGGCAACGGGTGCAAGAAACAATTAACCAATAATTTATATTACCCTTTGATTTAAATAAGGAAATATATACCGGTATATATATACCAATCATGGTTTTACAAAGAAAGACATTCTTCTATCCTAATTAATTCCAGACTGAATTTTATAGATGGCAGCAGCGGATGATTACTTTGATTCAAAAAAAGTTGAAGGAAAAAGAATCCGGATATTCCACGTACCTAGTAAGCGTATTAAGTTAACCTGCTTTTCAATTGGTTGCCGCTAACGTAACAAATCGCTGCTAGTGCTGCAAAATAGTGGAATCTATCTGGAGTGGTAGATAATTTAAAAACATCTACGGATATTTGGGATTTTCAAAATCGTGTGGAATTCCATTGTATTTTTTTTTTAGATATTTTTGGAATTGTACAGATTTTAAGAAGGATTTTATTGATCAAACTCGCTAAGAAGTTAATAAGACTTAAATAAATAAGACTTTACTGATCAAACTCGCTATGAAATTTACAATACTATGGGAGAACGAAACAAAAGACATTACAACAGATAACAGCACAGAAAAAACAAACAAATGCAAGTTAGATATTGGATCGGCGAACGGACTCAAAGTCCCAACAAGACAAACCCTACACATAGATTACGACTAGAAATTTACACTACGAAAACATAAAATTTCAATAAAAGTTTTCTAATACCACTGAACAGACAGCCCAGTCTCTTGCTCAGGTAGACTGCACATACCAACTTGGAAACAAATTAATTTATTAGGAATTATTTCAGAAAATAATCCTAATCGAAACCCATGCGCTAATACTAACATAATTCAAATTTTAAAGATAGGGATGTACATTGTACAGTCAATATGAGGAAGAGACTGGGATGGTGCAGTGTAGCATTCGCCTCAGTAACACACACACCTTTGCTGCTTATTAACAGGAACGGCTGCCAACAGACCTAAAGGAAGGACATATTGTCTTCCACGTACTTAATCTGTCCGTATCAATAACGTACCGTAACTTAAGAAAATAATGTTTATACAAACGAGATTTTATAAACGCATTGGTACATGCGTATTGTAAGTGGTCGATTATTCCGGCAAAGCTTTGCAACACGATTGAAGAAGGAGTTACTAAATAATGAAGTACGCAGACGGTGTACGGTTTTTTAGAATTTGCCAGAAATTTTTTTAATAAGGATTTCATCGGAATTTTAGGAGATTTTTATTTTCAGAAATTTTTTAAGGATTTTTGATGTGTCAGTTTTTTGGAGTGAACATGCATGCACAATCTTCAAAATCTCGTTTGCGATTGAGCACGGTAAACAAACTTGTAAAGGATCAGACAACGTACGCTTTGATATATAAACCCACATTTTACTCATATATTTCGTTGCCCGTCGACAGTACGTAAAAACTATACAAAGAATAAACACATTATCTATATACACAAAACTACAAAACCACCACACACTAAACATTTAGTATAAAATAACAACGTACTGTACCTCTGTCCCCGCAGATCCCTTTAGCAATAAACCAATAATTATATTATCTAATACTATCCAAAGGTTTATATTGTATATTGTCCACGCTTAACACGAGGTAGAAACAAACTAAAAACTTAAAAGTTCTGCTATTTATAAAGCCGTGGTGGCATGCAAATTAGTTGGCTAATTATCCTACTCATCCAATACACGCAAAGTATTTTAAACATCTTTAACAAAACTAAAAACAAAAATCATACAAAACAATAAACCGCATGAAGTAATTTGTTTATTATACATAATTCTAACACCGAGATGATTTTCATGCACTGACGGATTCAAGGCTAACATTGAATTCCAATAAAAGAGCTTCCCTGTTGGAGATTAACAATATATATATATATATATATATATATATATATATATATATATATATATATATATATATATATATATATATATATATATATATATATATAGACAGTTTTAGAAGCCGGAAATGCGGCGTGCGTGGACACTTCCGGTGAAACAAACACATGTTGTAAAAACATTAGTGACGAGAGCGAGCGTTCGAATGGAGATTGTTATTATAGGGCGAGATATTCAACAAGTAAAAAAGGAAAGAGATTCTTAACTAAACCTGTGTTTATAAAACTGTGAATTGTCGTAAACACAACAGGAGGCAATTTACGACATCCCTTTAGTGTTAATTTTTTTAGCCTTGGGTGCATGTTTTCTTGATCATAATATAATTTTTCGTTTCATCGGCGAGTGAATGAGATAAAATCTCTCGCTTCAAACAGAGCGACGCCATGTTTACAATTATGTGATAAAACTCGAAATCAAAACAATAGGTGAAGTGCAAAAAATTCATCCCCGTATAATTTATGCACGAAATTACAAACACTATTTGAAGGATGTTTTCAAATTCGATCTTAGGAGCTTACTGCGTGGGAAGATGTTTTGTTCGGTGATCTCAATTCGACATGGAGTACATTTAAAGAACTAGTTAGCATCTTTAAAGAGGGATTACAGTCCGTGCTGCGCATGTGCGATTCTTTTTGTTTTGGTAGACTACTTATCTCTTGTTTCCATGGTTTCCAGTCCGATTGCGTAATATACGCGCGATTCTATATTTGTTGATACAAGGAGTGGGAATACACAGTTTCGAAGAGATTTTCAACGATTTGTGACTTTTATGAAGTGAAATCCGATTAATAACAAATCATTGAAACAATATGAGAAGAAGGAAAGAATATTACGCCATCAAGGATGCCTTTAAAGTGTGTTTATTTGAAATTCAGTCAAGCGCTTCGCCATGTCGAAGTTATACTGTCATATAAAGGTAAATATTTGTTTATACATTTGATTATTTCGTTCTCCTGAGTCGAGACTGGATGTTTAATTCACTGTGAATTT